CCACAACAGCTGGAGCTAGGCCGATCCAAAGCCAGGAGCCAGGAGCTTCATCTGGGTCCCCCACGCAGGTACAGGGGCCCAAGCACTTGGGCCATCTTCTATTGCTTTCCCAGGCCATAGCAGAGAGCTGAATTGGAAGAGGAACAGCCAGGACTTGAACCAGTACCCATATGGGATGCCGGCACCTCAGTTAGAGGCTTAGCTTACTACACCACAGCACTGGCCCCAAAATAAATAAATCTTAAAAAAAAAATCCTGGTTCCTGATTCCAGCTTCCTGCCATTGTAGACCTTGGGAGGCCATCAGGATGGCTTCAGAAATTGGGTTCTTCTCACCCACATGGGAGACCCAAATTGAGTCCCTAACTCCCAGCTTCAGCCTAGCCCAGTCCTTGGGCATTGTGGGCATTTGGGGAGTAAACCAGCAGGTGAGAGTGCTCTCCGTGTTCACTTGCTCTCTGTCTCTCTCTCTCTGTCTCTTAATAAATAATATATTTTTATCCTCCAATAGTTTGATCTGAGTAAAGTTTGCTGTTTATGGTGTCCTAGGTATAAGATGGCTTCCAAAAATCACTTATAAATAATTCCATTGTACCTTTTTTCATTTAATCAAGTGTACCATTGTATGACAACAAGTGCCTCTCATATTTGTTTTTAACTGAAGGAAATCTCAGACACAGTAAGTAAAGGGAATAACATAATGAAGAATTCCATCTACCTTTCAGTAATTATCAATTCATAGCTCATTTTGTTTCTTCTATTTACCTCTACCTTCCACCTCCATATTATTTTGATGAAAATTACAAACACAGTATCATTTGAAATATAACTACTTCTTTTTTTTTGATGAATTAATTAATTCACAAGCTTTTATTGGAATTCCACTCCTGGGCGAGGTTCTCCGGTCCCAACAGGGCAGGGGGCCTGGGAAGTCGCATGACTTCAGAGGTTGGGAGTGCTCCTTTTATAGATACAGGGAGTGGGGGTTAAAGGTTGAGGCAGGTCTGATCCTCATTGGTTGACCTCTAGGCACCCGTGGGGACCTTGACAAGGACTTTTCGTTCCCAGAAGTTCCATTCCTGGAAGTGTAAGCCTTCTCCCTTGCGGATCCCAAAGCTACCATCCCAACCTTTAGATGACAGGAAAAGGGGCAACGATGAGTCACTCTGGCTACTTCCTGTTGACTGGGGACGTCGTCTACAGGGGTCTGCTGGGGGTATCTTGGGGCTCTGCAGGGACAGGCATGTATGGATGGAGAAGCATCTGGTTGACCGCTACTCTGGAGGCTTCCTGGATTCGATCTTTTATGAGCCTGAGAGCACAAGAAGCGATCATAACAATTATCCCTACAGTTATTAAGGGTCCCAAGGTTGGGAGTACCAATGGGAGAAAAGAGGAAAATAGATCCCATCCTTGTTGTCCCTGGTACTCCTGTTGTCATTTGGCAATGCGTTCCTTAAGTTCTTGTGCCATGTTTCTGAACACTCCAGATTTGTTAGTAAAAATGCAGCACTGTTCCCCCCAAAATAAGCATGTTCCCCCTTTTTCTGCTAGTAAGAGGTCTAATGCCGTTCTGTTTTGAAGGGCCACATCAGCCAGGGAGTCAATCTGGTCTTGCAGTTTTATAATGGAGGCTGCAACATTTTGTAGCTCCATATTTAAGGTGTTTGCCAGTTGCTGTATCTGGGTAGTACCATACGCCAGGCTAGCTACTCCTGTCCCCACTCCCGTTAGAACACCTAGTGCCACTAGAAAGGGAATGATAATTATGTCCCTTTATCTCTAAGACAGACACTGTTTTCAAGTGTTATCCTGACACTGTCATCATACCCCTTGAAATCAACAGTCATTCCTATGTTACTGATTGTTATAAATAAAAAAGCAAGTCTTTGGTCTTTGGCCTGCTGAGCTTCCCTTCATTCAGCTCTCCCTGATCACGTGCCCACATGTCAGTTACTGTGTACTTCTGCCCATTACACTGTGAGTTAGATCTGGATCAGTCCAATTTAGGTTACATGCTTTTTACGGAGATACCTCACAGGTGACAGTGTTTGCCTTTACCAGGATATACATAATATCTAGTTTCTCTCTTCTGGGGTTCTGCAGAAGTGAATTTTTAATTCTGTGATTCCTTCTTTGATTATTATTTGGAATATTTCTGTATGAAAAGATTCCTTCATCAATTATTTGATTACCCTGGGGTGCAGTTCTTATTATAAAGGAAAGATAAATATTGAAGTCTTTCATTTATCACTTTTCACAAGAAAGAATTAGATTTTTAAAGAATTTATTGATTTAAAGTTACTTGACATGGCGGCTGGCGTTGTGTGCGGTGGGTTAAGCTGCTGCCTTTGATACTGGCACCCAGTATGGGCGCTGGCATCCTGTTTGAGTGCTGACTGTTCCACTTCCGATCCAGATCCCTGCAAATGTGCTGGGGAAAGCAGTAGAAGATAGTCCAAGTGCTTGGGCCCCTGCACCCATGTGGGAGACCAGGAAGAAGCTCTGGGCTCCTGGCCTCAGCCTGCTCCAGCCCACCTGATAAAAGATCTCTTTCTCCCTGTGTCTCTACCTCTCACTGTAACTCTTTCAAATAAATAAAAGATAATTCTAAAAAGTTACTTGGTATGCTTTAAGTACTGAAATTATTTGAGTGAGAGAGATGATCTAAGTTGGTTCTTGAATCTGATTTTGGTAAATCTGGTAATTGTTATCAGCTGCTAATGTGACACCATTTCCATCAATAATATGATTACCAGAAAGAATTTTGTTTGGTAGTTTTCTGTGACACTGGTAATGTATAATAAAATCACTGCTACTAGAGTCACCATGTCAGTTACATCAGGCTGGTTGATAGTGCTCTTCAAGTGTTTTATATCCTTACTAGTTTGTGTCTTCTTCTTCAGTCAGTTTTTAAGGGACAAGTGTTTAAATCTCTAAACTGCGAACTTCTCTAGCTCTTTTGATGCTATATATTTCTACTTGGTGTATTTTGAAGTTTTGTTGTTAGGTGTATATCCATTTAGAATAATGCCCTGTTGATGAAGTAAACTTTATACCGTTATGAACTGTACTTGTTATAATTATTTATTTAGTTATTTATTTTATTTGAGGGTTAGAGAGACAAAGAGGAGCTCCCACTGGTTCACCCCACCCCCCAAATGCCTGGGAGCCAAGAACTCAATTAGAAACTCAAGCCAGCTCTCCTATGTGAACAGCAGGGACCTAAGTACCTGCCTTCCAGGGTGCACATTAGCTAGCTATTAGAGCCAGAAGACAAAGCCAGGACTTGATTCAAGGCACTTTGATGTGGTATATGAGCATCCCAATCAATAGCTTAATCACTACACCAAACGCCTGCCCTTGAACTATACTTCTTATTCCTGGGAAATAGTCTGATCGGCATTCCAGCTTTCTTTTGCTATACACTTGCATGCTATATGTTTCTATCTCTTTATTTTTTAACTAGTGGTATCTTTATATTTACTGTTTGGATTTTTTTGTTTGTTTTGTTTTTTGTAGGCAACATACATTTGGCTCTTTTTTTGTTTTTGTTTTTGATAGGCAGATTTAGACAGTGAGAGAGAGAGACAGAGAGAAAGGTCTTCCTTCCTTTGGTTCACCCCCCCAAATGGCTGCTACGGCCAGCGCTGCACAGATCTGAAGCCAGGAGCCAGGTGCTTTCTCCTGGTCTCCCATCATTTGGCTCTTTTTTTATATGACTTGACAATTTCTGCCTTTTAGTTGTGTGTTTAGATTATTTGCCTTTAATGTAATCATCTATATGGTTAGGATTAAGTCTCCCATCTTAAAGTTGATTACTGTTCTTTCTTTTCCTTTTTTGCCTTCTTTTGAATTAACTGAGTATTTTTGCTGTAAATTTCTGTATGGTTTATAACAAATCATTTTTTAATTTATTTTTAACTTTTATTTAGTAAATATAAATTTCCAAAGTACAACTTTTGGATTATAGTGGCTTCTTCCCCCCATAACCTCCCTCCCACCTGCAACCATCCCATCTCTCATTCCCTCTCCCATCCCATTCTTCATCAAGATTCATTTTCAATTATCTTTATATATAGAAGATCAATTTAGTATTTACTAAGTAAAGAGTTTAACAGTTTGCACCCACATAAACACACAAAGTATAGAGTACTATTTTAGTAGTAGTTTTACCGTATAACAAATCATTTTTAATTTTTTTCAAAAAATTATTTATTTATTAGAAAGGCAGAGTTACAGAGAGGAAGAGACAGAGAGAGAAATCTTCCATTTGCCGATATACTCCCCAGATGGCCTCAACAGCCAAGGCTGGGCCAGGAGAAAGCCAGGAGTCAGGAGCTTCATCCAGATTTTCCATGAGGTGACAGAGGCCAAACACTTGGACCATCTTCCACTGCTTTCCCCAGGCCATTAGCAGGGAGCTGGATTGTAAGTGGGCAGGTAGGACATGAACCTGTGCCCATATGGGATGCTGGTGTCGAAGGCAGCGGCTTTACCCACTATGCCACAATGCCTGCAGCAATCATTTTTAATTTAAAATCTGTGTCCAAACAATATTACAATACTCCATGTATAGTGTGAGAATCTTACTAGACCTCACTTCCATTTCACCTTCCAATACATTGTTATGATTTTATTTGTCTTAGCAGTTATGTTTTAAATATATGAAAATGAAAAAAAATATGTTGGCCTGCATATTTGCCATTTTTGGCATCTTCATTTGTTATTGATTTAAATCTCCATCTGGTATCATTCTGGTATTCTGTTTAAGAAAATTCCATTTACAGTTATTATTGTACAAGTCTACTGTATCATAAGCTTTTACTCTCCTGGAAAATAATTTATTCACTTTCAAATTGGTTAGATATTTTGATAAAGCAATTATGTTGGGTCTTGATGTGGTTTTCTTCATGTTTCTTCAGCTTTTGAGTTTCATTGTTCTTGGATCTGCAGGCTTGGAGTTTAAATTAAATTTGAATAGTCTTTTCTCTCTTCCAGGTCCATCTTCTTGGATTATGCTTGCACATGTTTTCCCACTGAGGTCCTGGAGGCTGTGAGGTATATATATATATATGTATTTCCCTCTGAATTTCATTTTGAGGGAATCCTTTTTTCATCTTCAAGTTCACTGATCTTTTCTTCCGCACCGTATAACCTATGATTATCCAGAATATATTTAGTTTTAGACATGATAATTGTCATTTCTAGAAGTTTTATTTAGATCACTTTTTTATATCATCCATTTTCTCTTTATTGTAATGCTATCCACTGTCTTCTTCACCATCTCGAGTATCGTGGTGCAAAAACCAGCCTTCTGCAAGTGTCTTTTCATTCCTCTCCAGTGTATCTTTGATTAGACTGCTAGATGGGAAATTTCTGGGTTAACAGATAAATGCAGATATTGTTTGGCTACAAATGACTACAAATTACAAAATCACTCTCCATAAGGGCTGTACTACGAGGACTTAACACCAGCAATATATGAGCAAGCTGTTTTCTCCAAGGTCTCATTAACATGCTTCAGATTGCTAAGATTTTGTCAACCTAATTGTAGCTTAAGTTGCATTGCTGTTATTCTGAGTGAAGTTGAGCACCTTTCTATAGAGTAAGAACTCTGCATCTCTTTCTGGGACTGACCTGTTAATATCTTTAGCCCATTTTTCAATAGGGCGTTGTCCTCTCTTCTCTATGTTTAGGAACTCTTTATATTAAGTACATAGTCCTTTTCATGTGATACAAACACAAATGTTTTTCTTTTAGTTTGTCACAGTACCTTTCCTATGTGAAAACTTGGGGGCAGGCATTGTGGTGCAGGAGGTCAAGCTGATGCTTCGGGTTGCCCACATCCCATATCGGAGTGCCTGGGTTCAAGTCCCTACTCCACTTCATATCCAGCTTCTTATTAATGAAGGGAGCAGATGGTGACCCAAGTGCTTGGGCTCCTGCACCCACATAGGAGACCCAAATAGAGTTCCTGGTTCCTGATTTCAGCCTGGCCCCAGCCTTGGCTCTTTGGGGAGTGAACCAGTGGACAGAAGATCACTTTCTCTCTCTGTGTATATGTATGTGTTCCTTTCTCTGTAGTCTGGCTTTCAAATAAATAAATAATAAATAAATTCAAACTTACAAAAAAATTGAAAATCTTTATGTACTCAAATTACCACTGTTTTCTCTTATTGCTTGTGAATTATAGCACATAAATTACAGTTAAGAAAGGTTTTGCCATTACCAAGCTATAAAGAAATTCATTATTTTCTTAAGTTCCTGTGTGGCTTTATTTTTTATGTTTAATATCTGATCCTTTTGTAATTTATTGTACTTGTAGGTTAGGCACTATGTTTTGGTCTTTGCTTAGGGATGGAAGGAGTAGATCAGGGAGGGATTTGGGAATAATGAGAATCAAAGTTATTTAAGGTAGCATCCCTGCATCAGAGAGCTCTTAGTTGAAGAATCAAAATATCTCATGGGAAGAGCTGAGTAAATGGGTACTTTTGAGGCTGTGTGGGAAGATAGTATAGTAAGGAATCAGTTGTTCATGTACTTCAGGATAGAAAGGTGAGGAGGAGGAGGAAGATGATAGAAACGTTCTGACCAATGCATTTAAACAGTAAAATGATACAAAAGACGTATTTTATGGGATAGTCAGGGAAAGAAAACTCTCAAGTGAAGTGACACTGGAGCTGGATTTTGAATAAGCAAGAACTCAACAAAGTGAAGGTGAAGGGCCAGAGGTGAGGGAGGTAAGCTGCTGTTTCCAGGCCAGCATCACATAGTGGAGCTCCGATTTGAGTTCTGGCTGCTTCTGTTCCCATGCAGCTTCCTGCTAACACACCTAGGAAAGCAATGGAAGATGGTGCAAATACCTGAGCCCCCGCCTCCTATGTCAGAGACCCGGATGGAGTTCCTAGCTCTTGGCTTTGGCCTGGCCCAGCCCCAGCCATTGTATCATTGTAGCCATTTGGAGAGTAAACCAAGGAATGAGATTCATTCTCTCTTTCTCTCTCAATTGCTCTGCCTTTTAAATCAATAAAGTAAGTCTTTTTTTAAAAAAGAAAAAGTGCAGGTAAAGAAGGAAGGTATTCCTAGCAAAAGGAGCCTTTGCATGACATGAAAGTACTGCCATGTTCTTTAAACGATGGAAGAGTTGCTGTGGTTCAATCATCCCCCACATTAGGGGAGGACAGGGTGAAAGAGAGGACTCAGCGAACCTCTTAGTCCAGGGGTAGAGAGACGTTTTCTTAAAGGTCCAGACTGTAATATGTTAAGCTTGCAGATCACATGCTGTCTGTCATAATCAGTCAGTTCTGCTATTTACCATGAAAGCAGCCATAGAGAATATTAGCACCCTCAGAGAGCTAAGACTCTTAGTATTGCTTTTGCCACCATGTAATTTTTTTAGAAATAATGCATAAATTTCAAATCAGAACCATCTTGATCTTTCATATTGAAAAACATGAGTTATGGGAATCAGAAAAGAATGATCTCAGTGTTGCCTTGTCCAAATGACAACATTAAAAGCTAAATTTCCCAGAAATCTGGGTAATCTTAATTCAGTTCCAAGTAAGTACCACCCTGTGTAAGAACTCTCCCAAAGGAGGTTTTTTTTAATTTGGAACCCAGCCTCTCGATGTGGTAGTTAGTCAGTGGTGCCACTGATGGTTAAACTCACAGGAAGCTTAAAGGTTATTTGAGCATTATATTAAAGTTTAATGAATTGGACCTGAGAACAAAAGAGAAACTCTCTCAATGAATTGAGTAGAATGCCTAAATTAGTTCTCAAGGTAAATGAGATGGACATTTAAAAATGCTTTCACTTATTTATTTGAGAGGTGGAGAAAGAGAGAAAGACAAGGGGAATAGAGTGCACGTCTGCTGGTTTACTTCCTAAACACCCACAACTCCCAGGGCCTGGGTCAGACTCCCAGAAGTGAGGAACCCAGTCTTGCTCTTCCACATGATGGTGAGGACATAACCACTAGATCCGTCACTGCTGTCTCCTGTAGTGTGGATTAGCAGGAAGCTGGGGTTTGAAGCAGGGCTGGGCACTGAATCCCAGGTACTCTGCTATGGAATGTTAAGCAGTGACCTAACTGATAGGCCAAACGCCCACCCAAAATTAGAGGAATTTTAAATATTCTCAGACTTTCATATCTGAAAATACGGACAACTTAGCGACAGAGCCAATGAGAATGTTCTTGACTGACTGGTTCAGAATGCAGAAGTCGCAGTTGGTAAATATGTCTTCATTTTGGTAACAATATCAATAATTACTGATTGTCTATGTTATTAAATCACAAAGGTGATGATTATTCAAAAGTTATTTTAACCTTAAAAAATTTAACTCTACATCTCTGAAGGAAAACAATCTAGAGATTATTAAAGTGAAAATGGGCAATTTCCATCCAGGAGCCAGTGTTGCTTCCATAATTATTGGTTTTTACATGAGTGTTTAAGTCAGTGAGTATATAATTATGTTTTAATTGTTAGAATTCGCTAGAGACCAAGAAGACAGTTTTTTTCCCCCCACAGGCAGAGTGGACAGTGAGAGAGACAGAGAGAAAGGTCTTCCTTTGCCGTTGGTTCACCCTCCAATGGCCACCGCGGCCAGCGCGCTGCAGCCGGTGCATCGCGCTGATCTGAAGCCAGGAGCCAGGTGCTTATCCTGGTCTCCCATGGGGTTCAGGGCCCAAGCACCTGGGCCATCCTCCACTGCACTCCCTGGCCACAGCAGAGAGCTGGACTGAAAGAGGGGCAACCGGGACAGAATCTGGCGCCCTGACCAGGATTAGAACCCAGTGTGCCGCCGCCGCAAGGCGGAGGATTATCCTAGTGAGCTGCGGCGCCGGCCTGGAAGACAGTTTTTAAACAGGAAAGTTACTGAGAATGTTAGAAAGCAAAATAAAGTTCAACAAGATGAAATTTTCATGTTAATAGTAAATTAAATTCTCCGACGTGTCCTCATATGTCATGGTGTGCCTGAATTATTTTTGAATCATAGAGATAAATTACTTAGCCATTCGTATGATTTTTTAAATTTTGTTTTAATTTGTCAAGAAAGAGGTAGGAATGAGATGTGTTTTTCCTTTTTATTCCAATTATTGCTCACTTTGCTTCCTGAGCCTTTCTGATTGTTTCTGTTCTCCCTATTTTCTGCAAATAAAGTTTTTCCACACAATAGCATGTATTTAAGCTCTGTAGTAACAGGGGTCTGTGACTCTAATTAACACACAATTATTCTTAGGTATTTAAATTTAACTGAAAAGTTATCTCTGTTAAATATAAAAGTGGGAATAAGAGAGGGAGGAGATGTATAATTTGGAACATGCCCAATCGGACTTGCCTCAAAGGGTAGAGTTAGAAATGTGCCAGGGGATTCCAATTCAATCCCATCAAAATGGCATATACCAATGCCATCTCACTAGTCCACGTGATCAATTTCAGTTCATAATTGATCATAATGATAGGTCTAAGAGTCAAAGGGATCACAGAAACAAGACTAGTGTCTGCTAATACTAACTGATAGAATTAAAAAGGGAGAGAACGATCCAACATGGGAAGCGGGATACATAGCAGACTCATAGAATGGCAGATGTCCTAAACAGCACTCTGGCCTCAGAATCAGCCCTAAGGCATTCAGATATGGCTGAAGAGCCCATGAGAGTATTTTAGGCATGGAAAGCCAAGACACTCTGTAAAAAAAAAAAAATGAAAGATCCTTGCAAGCGAAATCCCAGTGGAAAGAATGGGCCATCAAAGAAGGAGGTACCTTTCTCTGAAGGGAGGAGAGAGGAGAAAACTTTCACTTTGACTATGATCTTGTCTAAATAAGATCAGAGTCGGTGAGCTCAAAAGGCTTCCATAGCCTTGGCAACTCATGACGAGAGCCTAGGGTGATTACTGACGCCATAAACAAGAGTGTCAATTTGTTAAGTCAACAACAGGAGTCACTGTGCACTTACTCCTCAATGTTCTTAATGTGTTGTTCAATGTGAATTAATGCTATAATTAGTACTCAAATAGTATTTTACACTTTATGTTTCTGTGTGGGTGCAAACTGTTGAAATCTTTACTTAATATATACTAAATTGATCTTCTGTATATAAAGAGAATTGAAAATGAATCTTGATGTGAACGGAATGGGAGAGGGAGTGGGAGATGGGAGGGTAGCGGGTGGGAGGGAAGTTATTGGGGGGGGAAGCCATTGTAATCCATAAGCTGTACTTTGGAAATTTATATTTATTAAATAAAAGTTTCAAAAGGCTTTTAAAGTGATCTCCTGCATATATCATTCATTTTTGAAAAATAATTAATTCATTAAATTTATCTGAAAGGCAGAGAAACAGAGACAGACAGACCCTTCATTCCCTGCTTCACTCCCCAAATGCCTGCAATGGCCGGGGTTGGGCCAGGCCAAAGCCAGGAGCTTGGAACTCAATCCAGTCCGCCATGTGGGTGGTAGGTATGTAAGTGTGTGAACCATCACCTGCTGCCTCTCGGGCTGTGCATTAACAGGAAGCTGGAACTGCAAGCAGAGTCACCAAATGGGATGCAGGTGTCCCAAGTACCATCTTAAGGATGGAGCCAAATTCCTGCTCCCATCTGTTATTTTTGAAACTTTGGCTCTCACCTCCTAGGTTGCC